TTGATGTGTGTATGGATTGTGATAAGAGTTGTATGAGCCCCTAATAAAATGATTAAAAATTTTTTAGAAAAGAAATCTTTTAATTTCATAAATGGCTCTCATTGCCTTTGGGCAGTACTGATCTAGAGCCTGACAATTCAATGTGTGGTTTGCGGACCAGCGTCCACAGGGCCACCTAGAAGCCATGCCAGACCTTCCCAGTTCACGTTTTACCAAGATCCCCAGTGATGACTCTCATGCACAAGAATAGAAGCACGGACATGGCTGGCCTCAGAAGACACCCCGGCCATGGGTAGACACTGCAGAGTGGTCCCATCCTTTGGGGGAGGGGGAGGAGGAGGAGTTAAGGAGAGCCCTGCCCACCACTGTGATGTCACAGAACAAGCCGGTGGGTCAGCCAGCCCCTCCCAGGCAGCTCCACTTGGTGCCCTGCCTTCAGGTTATACTTTCCATCTTCTCCAAGCCAACCCACACCATCTTACCCCTCTGCTGGCAAGAGGGGGCTTGATTGAGCCTCACACGAAGTGGACATTCCAGCCACCTGAAGGCAGAAGAGAATCGGAAACCCCTCGGCCTCAGAAGGACGACAGTGAATGAACAAGCCCCCTCAACTGACTCACCATGTTTACGTCACCCAGGAGGTACGTCCCTTGGCTTTGGAAATTCCGTACACGGAAAGTTGGGTTTTATTAACACAGGCTATGCAGTTCAATTCGTTAGTTCACATGCTTGGGGCAAGGAGTTATGGGATTGTGTGAAACAGCATACAGCGTGTGACTCATGCCTAGTTTTTTTACTGTAAGCCTGGTGATGTCCCACCAGCCAGTCCACAAGAGAAAGATGCGCTGGTCTGCTTCTGTAACGATTTAGCCTCAGAGACCCCACGGAGCAGTTCTTTCTGCCCTACAGGGTCCCAGCGAGAACTGCCTCTGTGGAGGCTGTATGGTAACAGCAGAAAGCCTCTTGTCCTCCCAAAGGGGAGGACAGGGCCTTTTGAAGAGACGTGTTTGGCGCTACAGTGCCCAACTAGCTGTTCTGCAGAGCAGTCACAGGGGGCTCGGCTAACTTAGATACCACCTTTCTGGCTGGCTGGCGTGCAGTCGTTGAGGGTGTTTGTGAAGAGGCTGGCCAAGTGCCTGGCCTCAGAGCAGGCCCACTCTCCCTTCTGCTGAGAGAGAGGCGCTTTCCCTTGGCCTCTTGTGATCTTCCCAGCAAACCTGTGGAGGAGGACCAGTCTTTCCCCTGGTTTGTCTCTGATGTCATGAAAATCATGTGAAACGGTCACTACAGAGAACTAAGGAAGCCTGTGTTTACCGTGCTTCCGGAGTAGACAGTCCCTGTCAGTACATGTACATTTTAGGAGTCTTTGACCATAGGAAGGTCCTGTGGGGGTGGGTGACGTAGGTCAGTGATACCGAGGGGCAGAACCTTCGGTGTGGTGCAAAAGCGTGAAATTACTCGCTGCAGATTCGTAGGTGGGCACAAGGAAACCCTTGTCCCTGGAGCAATCCCACACGGGGCTCTGCCCCAGGGGGTCATGGTCGTGAAATGTCGCCACTTTGACCCAGGAAAGGAGGTGAAGCCTCACTTGGCTTTTATGGCAGGAGTCGGGGTACTCTTTAGTGGAAAGGAGGCGGAATACTTGGCTGGGTTGCTAAGCAACCCACACCTCTGGCCTCTCCGGGCCTGGATGTGCCATGGCCCTCTTCACTCTGCTTGGCCGTCCCCTGCTGCCGGGGCGCACGTGGTAGTGCTGTCCCCTCCCTCGGGCCTTCCCAACAGCGCTGACCCCATCTTCCCATCTCTCAGGGGTTGGGGGGAGGGGGGGGCCAGCGCCGCGGTTCCCATCAGATCCCAAAAGGCGGGAGGGCGGCTGGTGGTTTCCAACTGCCGATGATGAGGATCACAGCCCAGCACGTGACCACTACAAGCTCAGGGCATGAGGGTTTCGGAAGCACA